TGACCTCGAAAGGAGCTAAAGCGGTTCAAGCACAGGAAATTCTCCACGTTGAGTGGTTGTCCATAACATGACGCTTTACCAGCGGACGCAAATATCCGCACCCACCACGCTCGGTTAAAACCAGGGGATGATATACTGTGTGTCCCGGCAATACACAAAAAAAGAGGACGTAGAAGAGTTCATAAAAACGGATGAGCAGGAAGAAAAAAAAACCATCAGGGCCCAAGAGCCAGGCACCAACCTCCAAAAAAAAATCCGCACACGTAAAAATAAAAGGGGCACACTTTGAAGCCAATTTACTCACAACAAATAATAGCCAGCGCCTATTTTTTTTTATATGCTATTAATGGGCAGTTATTTTCCCTACGCCCTCTATAATTTTTGAGAGGATCTGAGGCGCGTGTTGTGGTGACGAGGCATTGCAATCAATTGATTTAATTTTGTTTTGTGCGATTTTTTTGTTGGAGGCTGGTGCCAGGGCACACACATGACACCCACGCGCGCCCCTGCCAGGACGCAAAATGGTGGCTGGGTACCTGCACGTCAAAATGGCGTGTTGTTGTGCTTGGCTGTGGAAATGGGGACGCCAAGTCCGTTCAAGACCCTGTCTCCTAATACCAAGGCCCATGTTCTAGGCCGTGGGGACCCGGACCTGCCCTCCCTGCCATCCGAGAACGGCTACCGGCATGGTGGAGCTGAAGAGTGGTGACAGGCAGGCGTGGAGAAAGGAGCCGTGATAGCATGAGGTGGTGTATCATGACAAGCTGAACTGACTGGCATGGATCAATGACGTATGACGCGGGCGATGGGCGACGATGCCGCGCCGCCGTTCGTGTCCCCGACGGGCTCGGGGGCCGGTCAGCTGGAGCAGGTCCTTTTGGCAGGTCGGCGAGGAGGGCGTCCGTTTGACACGATCAAACAGATGAGGGAGAGCAAAAAATAAATAAAAAGAAAGTGATATTAAGCAAGACCCTCCCCACCATTACTGTCGTCAACCGGCAGGCAAGGTTGGGTGTCCGCCCCGACGGTTTGTCACCTCATGGTGGGTGGCAGAGCCCCCCGCCCGTACGCTTTCGGAACTCGCCATCCGAGGTTGTGCGCACGCGCCAACCCCTCCGTCTGGCAGGGGTATGTGTGTGTGTGTGTGTGTGTGCCTCGCGAGGACACATCCAACAAGCCACAGCCCCCCGGTCCAACACACAAGGGTGAATCTGCCCACACGCCGAGCCCGGGGGGAAGGCGAGGCGAGGTCGGTTAGGGATGTTCGGCCGAAAGGGGTTTTTTTCTTTTCTTTTCTTTTCTTTTTTATTATCTCCGCATCCCTCTTGTCTTCTTCTTGGTTGTTGGAAAGGCGGAACAACCGAGATTTTCCGTGTGTCATTACAAAGATGGGGGGTTTTTTTTTGCCAGCCAACAGGGGCTAAGCCGCTAGCTCATCGGGGTGGGTTTCGGTTGGGAACCAATACCTTGAGCCGCGAGCTATGTGGAGAGGGAGAGGGAGCAAGCATCCAAAAACAGAGGCTTGGAGAAGCGATGACTACAAAGAAACGCACCCTCACATGACGCCCCAATGTTCAAAGTCCAGGGCCCGTGCCGCCGTCGACGGAATGCTCCGCGCCACGCGCGGGGTCCCGGCGCGATGAGAGGCGTCCCCCCTCCTATCTCTTTTGCTCTCTTCTTCTGCTTGTCAGCCACTGGGGGGGCTCCGGAAAACTGCGGCAGCTCGCGTGCGCGTGGGTCAGCAGTAGAACCCAAAAACAACGCCGCACGAAACCTTAGTTTCCCGATCAAATCACAAGTTGGCCGAACCCCATTTTTCTTCTTGTTTTATATCTGCCGTCTGCGTGCTTCTTATGCTTTTTTTTTATTTCTTTTTTTTAATGACGTTCCCCTCCTCGCTTCGGTCGGGCCGAGTCGGCGGCCAAGCAGGCGAGCGTCAAGATCATGATGCTGCTGCCGCTACTTCTTGCCGCGTGTGGCGCCCTCAGTGGTGGGCAAAAGGGAAGTGCGTGCAGCAGGTAGTAAGCGTCTTCGCCTGTCCGAAAGCTGCACGCTAATTGCCCGCAGCCTTGGCAGCCAAGAGTGATTGCGGGAACGCCCATGTATGTAGCTCGGCTGGGGGTCTACTTTTTTTCTTGTGCGTTTTGCCGGCCGGAAAACTCAATGATGCTGGGGTGCCTGTAACATGTCAGAAAGGGAGGTGTGCTTGGCGCCGATCGGCCGACGTGCATGCATCAAATGGAGCGCAGGCCAAAAGTGCCAGCCGGCTGGCGTCACTCGAGCGACGCAGTAGAAATCAGAAAGGCAAAGCAGCGGCATTCGTAGCTGGACCGGTCACGCCCGGGGGCCGATGTGATGAGTGCTCAGACGCTGCAGGATATGGCCGTTTTGGCCTAGTACGCTGCTTCCCAGGAGGCCGGCCGAGCCACTGATAGGCCCACGTCGTTGCGTGGCTTGGGTACGGGGTAGGGCAGGCGATGGTGAAAAGAAAGAAAGAGAGAAATGGAAGCAAAAAAAAAGGAAGAAAAAGAAAAAAGAGGTGTGGTTGTGAGTGAGAGCGCGCGCTCATGTGTGTGCTTGATGGTGGCGGCGGACATCTATCTGGTGGATCTCGACACTGGGCGCGTTAGCTCTCCTGTCCTGCCTTGTGCGTGCTACCGTCCAGGGACTAATTAGGAGGGGAGGGGTGGGTGAGCGGCCAAGACGGGGGAGGGGGAGGGGGTTTTGATCTCGCGTCTGGCACGACCCAAGATGACGATGGGGGTGGTTAGAGAGCAGGCGACGGACGGCTGCTTGTTTCTGGAGCCTTGCTTTGTTTTTCTTGGCGTCTCCTATGCCAACTCCGTTCCCCGAGGGGACTGCACCAGTGACCGCTTGCGTATGTGCAGGCCCTCGCTCTCTCGTGCGGGAGGAGGAAGAGGAGGGGCGACGGCTCAAGCCCAGTCACCTGTTTCCCTCGTCCACCCCAAGGAAATTATCCCACCACACGCGTAAACATTGTAAGCCGAGCATCTCCCACACCCTACTTCTCCCTCGCCATCGGTCAAGTCGGTGGAGTAAAGCCCCACCGACTTGGGCGATGACAAGGGGAGGAGAGGAGGGGTGCCGGCCCGGCAGGCAGAAGAGGCATAACGCAATTCGGGTGGGTGACTGCCACGCGCCGAGCCCAAGCTCCAGCACACACGCCCTCCCCCCTGGCAAGCTAGACGCGTGGTCATTAGCCCCACATAGGTTTTATAGCGTGATATCGTGGGGCGTGTCTGCTGCAGTAGCAGGCCCAGTAGCGGTAGCCTTGGGGGTGGATGGTTGGGGTCTTTGCATGCGCCCTGGGAGTTGCACGTATGCCCTTGAACGGCTGATTCCGTATCTTGCACACTCAGATTAGTGACGGTGGAGTAGGGGGGAGGATTGATGGGCGAGTAGTGTTGTGTTGTACGCAAGGCGCCCTTGGGGCTGGGGCCGGCTGTCCTGTTGAGAGCCTGGCATATGCGAGAGGCCAAATTTGGGCATTAGCGCAAGGCAAAAGCAACAGCGCAAAAGGGTGGGCCGGGCGTATGCAGAGACGGAAAAGACATCGGCCCGTGTCTTTTGTTTTTTGTTCATCTTCCTTTCCCTCTTTCGCGGTCTTCTTATTGTGCCGTGAAATCCCCCATAGGTGAATCTTTTCTTCTTTTCTCCGTTCGGCCTCGTGGCGCCGTCAATATCGTCATCTTGAGCTTCGTCTTTTTTTTTTCTTTCTTTTTTTTTCTCCAGTTCTTGGGTCGGCGGCAATGTACTGTGGCCACCGCTACGCGGGCGTGCGGGTTCCACCACCCGCCCGCCCTCTCCGTCCGCCCATCCCTTGCGTATGCGTGTCACTGCTTTGGGCAACGAGTGGGCGCGCCGCAGGGATTAGGGCCCTCTCGTATAAACAGGGGGGCAAGGCACAGCACAGCGCCAGCGTGCCCATCGTCCCTGCATCCCTGCAACCCGAATGCTTCGTTGGGGAAAGGCACGAATGCTTTCGTCTCCTCCCGTATCGTGTCCGAGACCCGCCGCCACTGGATCCCCCCTCCCCCCTCCTTCTTGCTTATTTTGATGTTTTCTTTTCTCCCCATTTTTGTGTCCTAGGTTTCTCCTTGTCTCTTCCATCACGCCCGATAGGCAGTACGGGCCATCCCGCCGGAAAGGTTGGTGGCGCACAGGGGATGGGCGGGAACCTCTCTCTGTGTGCTCGGAGACCAAGTACCCACAGAGAGAGAGAGAGAGAGAGAGAGAGAGAGAGAGAGAGAGAGAGACCGCCTGAGAGAATGTGTGCGTGGGAGTCAGGGCGACTGAGCGATAGAGGAAAGGCGAGCTCGAATTGGACAGGGGACATGCGTGTGGTAAAAGCCATCCACGTACACGAACGCCACATCACTAGGTAGGGTGCTTGGCCCGCCCGCCCTTGCCCGCCCTTGAGTAGCAGGAGCAAGCGACGAGAGTGAGGACCGGGGCCAGGCAACAAGGGGCGACTGCCGGCCACCACGACTGACAGCCAGGCCAACCCGACGACGGACGCGGGAGATTAGGAAGGGTGATGAAAGGCCTTAGATGCCCCCGAGCAGACGTGGTCTTGGCTTCGGGACGGCAACGTCAGGCCCGTGGCAGACGGGGACAGCAAGGGGCCTGGTCGACAGGTTGAACGGGCCCGGGAAATGACCCGACGCATATTCTGTCACTTTTCACCTCTCATTTTTCTTTTCTGTCCGCTGCCAGACCGTCTGTTATTCTCCTTGGGCTGGCCGATCCAGCGTTTCCGGGCGATGCGTACTGGTGCGCTGCAATTGGGTAGTCCGCTCCAAAAGGCCGACGCTCTCCAGCCCAAGGATGCCGACCTGGCCAGCTAGACCAAGCCGGAAAGGTCACCATCTCCCACGCCTGCCCACCGTTACCTGCCCTGAAATGACGACCATGTGGTGCGACCCCTGAAAAGGAGAGAAAAGAAAGCGAGGAAGAGAGCAGAGAAACGCAACGAAAGTTGGGGGCATGGCGAGAGGAACGGCAAACCACAGGGCCACATCGAATGAGGAGGGCACATGCCAGCCAGGTGGATTGACACACCACCACCATCCATCGTCTGGCTCCCACCCGCCTCCCACCTGCCTCCCACCTGCCTTTCAGTTTCGCTTTTCTCTTCCCTCTCTGGCCGGCTGCTTCGTTTCTTTTTCCGTTTCTGGCATTCCCAGCCAGCTCTGGTGCTTTCGCGCTGCGCTGCACCCACCCCAACCGGAGCGATCCCCGGGGCCAATGCCTGTTGCGCCCCTCTCCCTCGCGTCTTCAAGTCGACGACTGAATCACTGCTGTCCCGTTCTCATTCCCCCGCGTCCCGCCATCATTGACAGGTCAACACAGCCACCCACCAACCATGTCTCCTGGTCTGCTGCCTCTTGATGCAACTGGCAGGGACGATTCAGGGGCATTCCCTGTTAACGCTTTTCGCAGTGGAGTTAGGGCGTCACCCCTTCCCGGCTCTCCATTTCGATCTCGGGTGCTCGGGTTGACAGGCCAGGGGCCGCAGGATGTGGTTCCTCAGCACATGAGCCAGAGAGATCTTGGAGGGTAACCAAAATTGGCCGCACCCAGCTGGGCTTGTCCTGGATGACTCGAACCCGGCCCCCAGGCCCTTTGAATGTCTGTCATGCCTTCTCTCGCCCATCCATCCGCTACCATCTTCAAGTGTCCGTAGGCAAATGGCGAGATCCGTCCGTCTCCAAGGTCGACGACGTGAGACCTGCGCCATATTTGTGAGGCGCCTTTGCGCGTGTCGCAATAAGTTTGCAGGTAACCGGGCGAGGTGACAGCGGCTGGTGGCGAGCCGGCCGTCACCGTATCGGAGAGGACGAAAACGAGCACCTCGACGGTGTCCTGACAGGCCTTTGGGCAAGCAATCCAATCCAGAAAAGGTCCAGGCTATTAGGCGTTGGAGCATGCAGAGGCAGGGATCTAGCGATCGGCGCTGGCTCCAGCGCTGCACCATCGAAGGATACCTAGAACAGTATGGCCCCTCTCGTCTGCCGGCGACTAGCCTTCTGGAGGTTCTTCGCTCCGGAAGGACCCATATACAAGCCTGGAAAGTGCAGGAGCGCTGTCGCAAAGAATGGGTGCCAGGGGAGCTGCGTATTCGATGCCCTTGGCTTGACTGCTGGTTTTGGGGGGATGTGCACACGCCGGACCAGCACAGGAGAAGAAGAAAAAACCGAAGAAAAGGGGCTTTCTGTGTGGCAGGGCGTGTGAAGTACAAACCAGGGGAAATTAATGAAAGAAGGCAAGCCAGCGCATCCAAGCATGCCGCACTTGTCGGTTTTTGTCCAACACAAGCCCGGCCTGCCCTATGGCAGCTGTTTGCCTGCCACCAGGCCACTCTGTGCGGCTACCCGCACATCTTATCGAACTTGAAAAGGGAGAAAAATCCATTGGACAGGTGACGCTGGCCTTTTCTCATCCCTGGCCCCATCTCGAGCGCCTTCTAGGGCTGCCACGACCGAGCCGGATCGAAACGCGGAACCGAACAGAGGGGTGAGATGATGAATGAACAAGAAAAGAAAATCTCAAAAAAGAATCCGGGAATCATGATCCAAGGATCGAACGACCGGAGGACGTAAGGAAAGCAACACACCCCGAGGGATTGGAAGCAACAAGACCTGTGCTGTGGTGCACATTGAGCTCAGCGGGGGCGGTGCATTCGGCGGCTTCGAGATACGGGGAAATGGGGGGGGCGACGCCCCTTGTTGTCTTTTTGCTCCTCGCATCGCATTCGCATGGTCGCTCTGCAGCCAGCTGTCGTCGGCCAGAGTACCCTTCCTGCACCACCTATTGTTGGACGGCGGCTGGTATTGGTGCCGGCTTCGGCAACAGGCCCGAGGTCCAACCAAAAACCCCCGACTGTCTGGAGACCGCCCTTGTGTCTTTTTTTTTCGCTTTCCATATTTCCCCCCTTTCCCCTTGGTGTCGACACCTTTTGGACAGATAAAGGTGTGCTTGCCGGCTAGCTCCGTCTGACCTGCAATCGCTTGCGGAATAAACCGACACGACAGAGCACTTCCGCGGAAGGCGTCCAGGCTCCCGAACGAAACGATATAGGCTAGCCACAAAGGGGAGAAGCAGAAAAGACGGCAGTCTGCCGGCGGAAGACAGTGGCGGGAACATTATGGTCCAAGTGGAGGGTCGAGGCGAAACGCGCTTACATGGAATCCGACACGAGCAGTCCTGCTGGACTCGAAAAAGGTGGCCCCTTCAACCCCAGCACATCCGACTATTTCGGCACCACATTCCACGGCGTCGGCGAAATCGGGGTTGACCAGCAGTACATCCCCGGGGATGACGCTGTCTCCGGGGGTGACTTCTCGCTGGATCACCACCATCCACAACAATCCTCCACGGCGATAGCCCTTTTTCCGTATCCCGAGCCTTCCGGACCCGACGCCGTCGCGGCATCGACGGCGGTGATGCATGCCCCGCCCGTACCGGATTGGCAAGGAGGGCTGTCGCTGTACGACACGGTGTTATTCTCGCCGTCAATCGAGCACGTCGGGCAACAACCGAAACTGTACTCTCAACCCAACTACTATGGGGCCTGGGCTTCTGGAGCCCAGCCCATGGTGGGATTGGGTTTGATTTCGCCACACAGTGTCGAGGAGCAGTCGCAGCAACCGCAGCCGCAGCCGCAGCCGCAACTGCAAGCCCAGCACGATGCCTGGGGGCAGATGATGACACCGCCCGAGGACAGCTTCCCCGTGGCCCATGAAGGGGGCCGACCCCAGATGCCCGGGTCGCTTCACTTTGTCCCAGGGTTCGCACAGCTCCCGGCTAGCAACGGGATCTCAAGCGGGGGTCCAAATATGTCTGTGGGGGGCGGGGGAGCGTCTGCCGAGATGGTTGGCTTCCAGTATTCTTCGGCTGGCGTGGGCGACCAGCTCTCTCCGGTGACGCCGATTGATTTCGTCGACAGCCCATCGACCCTTGTCCCCTCTCCGCAGCCCGGCACACCTGGTCGACGACAGCGGCGACTATCCATCTCGGCGTCGTCGCCAGCGTCACTTTCCACAGTGTCAGCGCCGACAAGAGCAGGAAGAGCCTCATCCACGTCACCACATGAAGACTCTATTCGTCCGAAGCTGCCCAAGAAGTTGATTCGCGGCTCTGCATCCCATCCTCGAGGGTTTAGCAGTGGCGTCGGCCGCGAAAGCAACAACAACGGCGGCAAAAGACCGGCATCGACCGACGACGACAAGCAAGGCAGTGGGGCCGCCAGAGCCACCGCAGCCGGCAAGAGCCCGTCCAGGGCCAGGGGCAGTAACCGCGAGGCGGCGAAGAAGTGCCGGGAGAAGACCAGGCTGAACGAGCAGCATCTAGAGGAGCGTGAACGTATAGTGAAGACGCGCAACGATCGCCTGAAGCGCGAGCTGGACTTGGTTAAGGAGGAGGTGCAGATGTGGAGGAGTCATCTCCTGATGCACGGCGGTTGCGAGAACTTGAGCATAAACAACTGGATCAAGAACCGTGCCGCTGAGATGTAAGTGCCGCCCGTCATCCGTCGTCCGTCGCTTTTGTTCTTGTCTATCGTCCCGTTGTCCCTCGCATATCGTCATCCGCATGTCGTCTGGTTCGTCTGTTGTCGTTGTCCCTCGGTCTCTGTGGTCGCCTCCCACCTGTCGTCAGGCCCGTTTGTCGCCCGTCCCAAGCCCATCGTGTGTGGCAGCAAGATGCCCGATTACTGACAGGACCCGCGCGGTGCCTCAGATCCGAGAAAATGCTGTCGCCGACGTCAGCGAGCCAAGCATTGAGCCAAGCCCAAGCGACTGCGCCAAGCAGACTGCAGCCCCTGACGCCCATGCCCATAAATGGGCGGCTCAACTTCCGGCTACAACCGCCGCCGCCGCCCTTGACGCGCCGTCCGGCTCGATGACAAACGTATAGGGCCTCCTCTGTCGGAAGCGGCACGCGTGCCGTGGCGCTGATGATGGCAGAAGACGAGGCAAACATCGATCGAGGGCGTGGCCTTTACCGCCGATACCGAGGGCATAAGATGGGAGAGACAGGTGTACGAAGGAGCGAGAAGAGACGGACGGCGAAGAGAAGGGTGAGATGGGCATGCGAAAGAGAAGAATTGAACGACGGGCGTCCGGTGCCGCCGATACGAGAGAGAAAAAAAGAAAGAAAGAAAAAAGTTGCCAGCCAGCGCGGCAAAGCGCGATGGCCAAACGTTAGTTGGGCTGTACCGCTTTGGCCGGCCTTGGGTCATTGGACAGAAGCTTCAGCGACCGACATGCACCCGCGGCCATTGATTTGCCACTCCCGCACCGGAGAAGGAAGGAGCAGCTCACCGGTGCGGGCCACAACGGAGGGAAGGGGCGGAACAGCAAAGCAACGGGCAGGGAAGGCGCAAATCGCGGCAGGACAACAAATGCAACAACAAATGGGGATTGGAGGGTTCGGGACAGGAAGTAGCAATGGGGACGAGGGAGGGGGAGGAATGGAGTGTCGAGCAAGCATTTGGGTGCCTCGAGGTAGGGGTGTTATTTGCACATCAGGCGTCAGCAGCCCGGTGCGCTGGGCGGACGACTAGATTGTCAAAGGAGCCAACGGCGTTTATTAGAGGGTCTGGGTCGTTGGGAATTGAACCTCTTCTTTCTCTCCTTTCCGCCTTTCTTCCTTCCCTCTCTTTCCCCCCTCCTGTCCTGCCAGCCCTTTTCCTCGAGGATGACGGGGAGGAACCCCAGAGGATGAGCGGAGACTCTTGGAGCGGAATCAATCGCGACCAAAACTCAAGACTCACACGTGTGTGCATCGGGATCAGCTTTGTGTCAAGGGGGGCTTTCTTGGGTCGCTGCTGCTGCCCGACACGCTCGCAGCCTATGCGACTCACCCCGAGGACTGACGTCGATGGCCGCCACGCATCATGGTCGGGCACATCGAGGCCCACGCGCTTCCATGGCCGGCCCACCTCTGGACGACGCCCATCCGGGTATCGGCGCGTGGCCCCGTTGGGTTGGCCTCGCGGGGGAACATGTCCACGATGCACAGTGAACGGGGCGGCGGTGGGGATCGGTAGGGTTGGACAGTCGGTCGCTTGCGACGTGACGGAGGAAGAGGGTAACGGCGGCTTGAAAAAGCAAGCGACGGACGGGTAGCCAGGTGGTGCCAACGGGGATGCCCGTAGATTCCGAAAGGCTCGGAACAAATCCCCGAGACGATCAACAGATTCTTGTGGGGAGTGTGCCTGGACGTTAGTCCTCCCTACCCTCTACAGCCTTTGTGCTGATGTTGTCTGACGAAGGGCCACCCATCTCCAACTATTCGCTCGCCAAGCAAAAGCGAAGGACGAAAGAACAAGACCCAACGGCGCTCGTGGCGTTCATCTCAATCGCGTCGATAGGCGCTCATCCAGTACCGAAAACTCGGTTTGATGTATTTTTTTCGGTCCCCCTGGGCTGGGCAATTTCGCAGGGCCGATCTGGGAAACTGGGCTGCAAGGCATGGCAAAAATGACCGATCCGAACATCAGTCGTTTATCGTGGTGATCGAGCGGTCAGGTGTTGTGCCGAACAGAGGGTCAAAGCTAGACAGAAGCAAAGAAAACAGATCCCATGCGATCGATGCGCTAATGGACAGTGGCATTGTCGATTCAAAGGAGCTTTACCAAGATTGATATCTACCCTACCCTAAATACTCTGCGCGGTGTGGCGAAGAGTCGGTTTCGCGATCTGGAAACCCGACAGGGTGGTGGAGATCGGAGACACTCGACTGGTGCCCGCGGGTGGGCTCCATATATTCCAGCTACATGGATTTTGTGTGCCTGGGTCTTCCCGCCTCTCCACCATCTCGGCTCGTGGAGTTGCTGACGGCAGCCCTGTCACCCCCGCGACGAATTAATTGATACACCAAAACGGAAATGACTCCCCAGCTCCGTCGATTTCAATGTTCAAAGCAATAAAAACTGCTTATATTTGCGAACGATCGAAAAGATATTATTTTGCGTTAAAATGCTATCTAATGGAGTTGCTTGCAGTTGCGGACGAAGCTGGTCAAACGAATCTGGCAGCCTGAGGCCCGATTTTCTACCATTTGGTGTATCAATTAATTCGTCGCGGGGGTGCCTGTGTGCCTTAGCTGCGGCACAAGTGTGCATAATCGGAATCTGGCTTTGGGAAGGAGCTGATGTGGCGGGCGGTGTCGTGGATGCATGCATCGTCATAGGTGTCTTGGGAGCCAGAGGCCAGTGGCCAGCCCCAGCTCGCTTGGGTTCGGTTGTAGCACCAATGGGCCTCATGGGAGCTTGCTGGCTGGCTAGCACCAGCCGAAAAAAAAAAAGCAAGACCGCAAAAAAGGGGCTCCCATTGCCAGGTCAATCAACACCACCAAAAGAAATAGCCAACAACTATAATTTATATACAAATTAATGGGCAGTTATTTTGCCTTCGCTTTTTATTATTGGCGAAAAAATCCGATATGTTTTGGGCGTATTATGGTGCTTTGGTATGTTGCAATTGAATTGATCAAGTTTGTTTTGATCTTTTTTGCTATAGAGTTTGGGTGGGGAAAAAGCATTTTGCGGGT